TTGTTTATAATAACATTGATTGGAATATGGGTGATACCAAAATTCTTCAGCCACCAATTTATAGACTTTTTATTAACATAGATTGTTATATATTCTCCTTTGGAATAAATAACAGAATTTGAGGAGACCATAAGAAGTCCAGCTGGGGGTGGAAGAAGGGAGGACATGATATTGGGAAGATAAAGGTTGCAACGAGTTCAGAGGGAGTCCTGATTACTGGCTCAATGTTTTAGATTTCATTCTGTATAAAATTAGAGTTTTTAAGTAGGCACATGACAAGATTAAAACTATATTTGTGGTTCTAGGCCTTCTGATATCATTCCCAAGGCAACATGTAATCATATACCACCCCCATGCACAAAGAATATAGTAATTAAAAGTTGAAACATGAAATGAAACCACTTTGCTTTCATGTATAATGAACTTTCTATGGTGGCTGGGAAGTTAATTGAAAATTAAGACTTCCACGGTCTTCAGTAGAGAAAAATTCTTTAATCAAGAAGAAGAAAAAGGAAATTACAGGACATCTTTATTTAAAAAATAGCACTTTTTCTTTAAATTCTTATTTCCTTTTACTCAGATGTGAAGAAAAGAAAATTTTAAGAGTGGGAGAGATTTCTTTTTTTAAGAAAGAAGCTTTCTTGAAATTCAACTGTTATAATTCAAATGTGAGTTAATCAACATCTGAGATTTCTTTACTTGTTATGTATCAAGGAGTATTTCTCTCTTACAGCAATACAATACTATAAGAATTAAAAAGGAAAAAAACAAACCTTTGTGCAATCTCTTCCCCTGTGTCTGCTATACCACCACAATCTTGAGGGGTTTTTTCCAATGTTTGTCACAGTAAAAATCAAAGAATGTGTAATATTTCTGACATTAATCTATTAGCATTCCTAGTAACTACAATATATCTCCCACTGTTTTCAGTTATGTGAATAATTTTCAGTTTTGTGACCTGTATATTAATTTGATTTATTGGCTCCTTTTACTTCTTCTATTTGAGTAACAAAGTAAGTTAATAATTATCAGCTTATTTGGAATTAAGGTTATAAGATCTAGAGCTTCAGGGGTAAATGACTATAACTGTAACTCACAGGGCTTTACTTTTTCAAATTACACCAACATTGTAATAGTAATCAAATAAGTAACACTTAAAAAAATAGATCTGAGATCAGGAAGGTTTCTAATATTGACAGTTTGACACATAATAAAGGCAGTCAACTCAATGATTAAAACAGGAAGTGCTTCATAGTTTTTCAAAGACATTTCTGGAAAAAGTTACATACTATTTCACTTTTCCTTTTTTATTATAATGGATTTAATGTAAGGGGAACGATCTTTGTGTACTGAGCATTCCATTCTCATATTTATTTCTTGCCAAAAGAATCATTAGCTTTTGTTTATCGC